TTTTTTTTTTTTTTTTGGTAGCGGGAATTGAACTCAGGATGTTGCGCTTGCCAGGCAGGCACTTATGCTACTGAGCTATATCCCTGGCCCTAGATCTAGGTCATCTTATCAAGTATCAGTTTGATTTTTACCCCAGAAGAACTGAAGATAGCGCTTTCTGATTAGTACCAGGTGCAGGGCTTGGAAGCTATGCTCTCCATATGTCCTGGATTCCCATGATTGACAGGCTATATGCCCACTTGCCCAGGCAGTTGGCTTCACCCTAATCTGCCTCAGACCCACTTTTAGTCCCTATAGATTTGGCTATTCTTGTCTTTCCCCCATTTTTTTTGGAGAGGGTCTTGCTACATATTTCAGACTGGCCTGGACTCACTATGTAGCCCAGGTTGGCCTTGAGTTTGTGGTGATCCTCCTGCCTCAGCCTCTCAAGTGCTGGGATTACAAGCATGTGCCACCACACCCAGTTTGCTCATTCTTCATATTTTGTATAAATTGAAGTTACAATATGTAATCTTTCGTGACTGGGTTCTTTCACTTAGCATGTTTTTAAGGTTACTGTATGTAGCATGTATCAGTACTTCATCCCTTTCTGTTGAGGATCGATCCTCCATCGAATGGCTGTACCATTTTATATTACTCATCAGTTGGTGGGTGTCTGGGTTTTTATCTTTCAGTTGTTATGAACAATGTTACAGTTTCTATATTAACATGCTTTTTAAAGTGATCTTTCTTTGAGTATCAAATTAACTTCCTTCCCTCACAGTGATGGGGTTCTCTCCCAGAGCTCATCCCTGACATCCTAGGTAGAGTTAGGTGTCATTTTGTAAGGCTGTGATTACATTTTTATAGTACTTACGTTATATGGAAATTATCTGTTTGCATAGCTGTCTACTCTATCAGTTTTTTGAGAGAAGCACCAATGCCTTTTTCAACTTATAGTGACTGTAAACAGTGTAAAAGTTTACTTAATATTTCTTGAATTAGAAAAACTGTGAAAAATTTATGCTTTTCAATTAAAATAATCTTTTGTTATTTTTGTCTTTTGTACACTGCCCTTAAAAAGAAGTCCCTTAGAATACATGTTGATATATTGATCTTAAATTTATCATTTTTTAAGGCCTGCAAAGAAAGCCAACAAAGGTGCCAAAGAAAAAACATCAGATGAAAAGAAAGATGAGATAGAAAAAATAAAGTCATACCCATACATGGAAGGTGAACCTGAGGATGATGTCTATTTAAAGCGCTTATACCCAAGGCAGATATATGAGGTGGAGAAAGCTGTTCATTTACTTAAGAAGTTTCAAATTTTGGACTATACTAATCCAAAACAAGGAGTTTTTCTTGATTTGACACTGGATATGGCACTGGGGAAAAAGGTATGTGAACTCAATTAAAATAAGTTTATTTGTGAACAGTGGCTGTATGAATTGGTTTCTTAATTTTTAAAATTCTTGCCTCATAATAATTTTTAGAAAATCTTATGTTTTTTCATAATGAAAAAATGTATTTTTAATTTTCCACATATATAATATGTTGGGAGAGTTGCTAAATATCTCTCTATATATCTCTCTGTGTATCTATATCTATATCTCCTATTTCCCACTTCCCGGATGTATAAACAACAACAAAAGTATTTTAAAATCCATTGAGGTATCACTGTAACTTCAGAAAATGACTTATGCTGTCTGGGCGTCATGTTTCTTTGATGCTGAGAGTGTTGGATTAATTCAAATATGTTCCTTGGGTTAAGGTTAGATTTGCGTGGTTTGCGTGGTTATGGTCCTAAGCTCCCCACTCTTGTTTCAGTCAGAGACTTCCTGCTTTATCTGTTTTTATATTGCAGTTCTTCAGAAGATTATTGATTATAAAAAAACTCTAAAGTTAAGAAAAACGCTAGGTTAATATTGAGGTTCATTACAACCCTAAATTTTGTAAGCATCTCATTTAAGTAATCTAATTTTTTTGAAATATTTTAATTTTCTTTCTGAGAATTTTTTTTTTGGGGTCAGATTATAAAGTAGAAGTTTTGAACACAACTTAACAGCCTTTCCAAAAATATACCTAGAAGTTAGTTCTCATTCATTAGAAACAACTTGTGCCAGCTGTGGTACAATTTCTATTTTGCACCTCAATGTTGGTGTTAGTTCTTTTATTTTAAACATTTTGTTATGTCAGAGACGATCTCTTTCTCAGTCAGCCATGAATGCCATTCATAACAGTGTCTTGTAGGACTACAAGCTTCATTTCATATATGAAGCCATTTGTGAACAAGTGACATTGAAAAGGTATTGCCTTTGTTGTAAAGCTTTCTTTCTTTTTTCCATAGAGTGTTTGTACAAGCCAGTATTCTGCAGGGGATGCTGTTATCATGATTGCTGAGCATGCAACCATTTACTGAAACCAATTGTGACATGTTAATGGCAAAAGAATTTCAGTCAGTAAAACTAAGTTGTATAGCTGATGTAAATTAGGAACTTATACCTTGTTGTCTGAAAGGGAATCCTTAAGAGGATGTCTCTACTCAACATGTTTCTAAAAGCATAATTTTTAAATTAGTCTTATTAGAGGAACAATCCTGTTTCCCTTCCAAGTCTACAGGCTATACCAACATTGTGGAGGATCTAGAACTTGTTTCTATATGAAGTCTCCCCAAGAGATCTGAACGGGTCCTTGTGCCAAAATGACTGAGCCTATTGGTTTTGTGGCCCTATAGATCTCTGGCTGCCTCAAATGCTACCATTGCTTATTTTGGATTTTCCAGTTGACTTCCAAAATAGACCTCCAAGTGACTTCAAAATAGACCCACTCAGAAGCTATTCTTTTGTGGGTTAGGGTTTATACTACCTAATTGTTTGGCGCAGTGATAGCAAACCTATGGCACAGGTGTTATTTTTCTTTTAATGTTGACAAATATGTTAATGTATGAGTTTAGAGCAATGTTGGCAGTTAGGGATGATTAACTGAGCAGATCAACTGGATTGTCTGTTCAGTATGTACAGTTGTGTTCATGTTCTCCTTGATGCCAGAAAATTGCATGCTTTTTAAAATGTAACTAATTCAAGGTAGCAAACATCAATAAACAAAAATGAAATGAAAGACATTTTATTAGGTGCTGTTGAGATACAGATAATGCAAACGTATCTGTTAGTATTTGAGAGACTGATAATGATACAGAGATAGATGCCAAGTGCTGTGGGAGTAGGGAGCTGGGGAAGAGAGATTTAGTTTTTATTAGGGTTTCTTGAAAAAGAAATGTAATTTCTTTAACTTTAAATTAGAGTCAACAAATAGTTCTAGATTAATGGGAGAACATATGGTAGAATTAAAAAACTAAGAACTTGTCGGTTTTGTTTTTTAAAGAATGTGAGAGATAATAGAAAGAGTAGGCTTTTTATAATTTCTTTTCCCATCTTGTTTAGAAAAGAGTGGAAGCATTTGCCAGCGTTATTAGTTTTCCATATCCATTTTGTTTAGAAGTCAATAAAGTTGCTGTGTTAACAGGGGTAAGTAACTTTTGTCAACTACCTATATTATTAAATTTTTCTAGAGATGTTGATTAATGTTATTAATCATGTGAGTCTTATTTTCCCTATTTGAAGTTTGAAGTAGATGACTTATTGGAGGGTATGGAGCTAGTTTGAGAAAGTGCTAAACTAGAACTTTACTTACATTAGTACTAGTCCACCACATTATATTTCTTACAATAAACTGAAGAGAATTATGGAATTTATTCTGAGTAAATTCTGCTTTCTATTCAGACTTCCCTTCTTGGAGAACAATCGGATTATTTTATAGCAATTGGTCTCGCTAATTCTATGGCACCGCGGACATCTAGCAACTTTTAAAAATACTCAGAGAAGTCAAGCATGCAGCTAATGTAGCAATCCAGCTCTTTGTCAAACTTTTTGTATTAATGTGTTTGTGAATTTCTTGTGTTTTGATTCTTCTTCACCTGAAGCTCAAAGTTGAGGCATTTTTAATTGTCTCTACTATACTGTCAAGGAAGAAACTCTGCTTTCTTCCCAGAAAACTGGGGAATATAGTTGTTAGAATGCCATAAAAACTTTAAAGGGAAACATTTGCATGGTAAAATCAAATGGTAAAGATGGAAAATACAGAAAGAAAATAACTGTTTATTTATTTTTTGGAATTTTTCAGATACTGACTAAATTCTGGTTCACTGATTTCTTAAAACTTTTTTTCTTCATACTGGTTTTATAAATTGGCTTATTGGTTTACACTAAAAAAACCAAATAGCTTTTAATCTTTTACTTTTTGAAAGTAATATATTGATAAACTTGGAGGCCTATCACTCAGTAGGTTCCTAATAATGCCATTTTGGTATATTTCTTCAGGTGTCAGTCAAAAAACACCTCAGTTATCTATAAACTAAACTTGTTTTTAGTGTAATGTATCTGTAATATATACTCAGCTGAAAATTGATGCATATTTAATTAAAAATAAACAAAATTTTTTACCTGTTTAAAAATGTACTGAGTTTGTTTAAAATTAAAGATTGATATTCAATTTTTTTTTTTTTTTGGTAGAATCCATCAGAGATTGAAATAGCAGAAGGACAAGGAGCTGCTTTTGCAGGAGGAACTAGTCTGATTCAGAAGGTATAGTGGTGTTTTCGTGTTCATTAATTATAGAGATTGTTCTGTGGTCTTTGCTGTGGCCATTGATATGTAGAATGTAGTCACTAGACTCCTGTCTTTTGAAAAATGGTTAGTAGCTCTCTACAGAATAGGGAAAAGGTTTTATACTGTTTTTGTTTATACATCAAGGTAAGAAAAAACTATCCAAACTATCTGCTATTGTGCTCGCATCAGTCTACACATTTACTAAACAGTCTGCCATTGAGTATATTTGATTTATGTTGTGATTTTAAAAATTTTTAAATTTATTTTGCTTTCTTAATGTCTCAGAGTTTTGTGGGTTGACTGGAAAGGGCAATATGACCCAGGTTGGAATGTGAAATTTAAAATGAAATGTAAAAGGAAGCACACATAGATATATCTGTTTGTATCTTAAAAGATCAAATACTTGTTTTGCTTCCTTGGAGTGAAAGTGTGATTTACTTGGTAGATCACAGATATGATATCTGACCTCTATAGTACAGTGCTTTTGGTTCCTCTTAACTTTTACTCCCCAGTCAGTTCAGAGTGGTACAGGCTCAGCATGGTAGCTGACAAATGGGTATATGCCCGCCTTAGAAAATCACAGAAATCTTGTGGAACCCTTTTGGAAATAACAGTATTTTTTTTTTTTTTCTCTAAGAGGTGGAAGGAAGAGGCACATAGTTATTTCTGAAAATGCAAAAGGCTTTTTCTGACATCCTCTAAAAACCCCTTTTCAAAATATAATCATTTTGACTATGGATCTTTTGAGGGGCAGGAAAACAAATGACTTGAAAATTTAATCCTTTGTGCCATACCTAGATTTGCTTTCACGGAAGTCTTAAGTTTGAGTTTGTTCTTTGTGATATACAGCAGTGCTTGTCGTTTTTTTTATTATTTGTTTTGATTTGATTTAGTTTTCAGACAGTGCCTTGCTATATATTCTAGGCTGGCCTTGAACTCACTGTGTGGCCCAAGCTGGCCTCAAACTTGCAGCAACCCTCCTGCCTCAGCCTCCTAAATGCTGGGATTACTGGCATGTACTATCTTGCCCAGGTGCTTGTAATTCATTTTCCAACTCCAGTAATATTTTAAATTTGCTGGGGATTGTAAATTTTTAAGGAGAATCTCCAAAATAAGTTTTTGAAGCAGAATTAGTGAATGGTAAAAAGAGATTATGTTTTAACAGGCTCTAAAACAAATCAGAGCATACAACCCATTTTTTTTTTTCTGGTGTATCATTAATTTTAATATTCTATTTTTAAACAGCTACTTAAAATTTTTTAGTTATTAAAAAGTAAATATGCTACAAATGCTTGAGAATTTGAGAGTAGAGCTTGGTCTCTAGAGTCAGAGAACTATTCTTATTAAATTTGTACACTACTTTCCATCTATTTCTTCCCTCCTTCCTTCTTTGTCTCCCTCCCTCCCTCCCTCTCGCCCTCCCTCTCTCTCTGTCTCTCTGTCTCTCTCTCTCAGTTGGTGCTGGGGCTCAGAGAGGCCTCATACATATTAGTGAGCAGCACCCCTACCTGCCATGCTTTATTTCTAAGTTAGTCTTCAATTTTACTTAGCGCTTTTAAAATGTAATGTAGGATAAAGTTAGTAACCTTTCTGCTGTTTCTTAGGTAAGACCTTATTTATTCATTTTTGTTTCAAATATCACAGATATGCTTGGTTCCAAGTGATTTAAAAGTAATTTCATGTTTTTACTTGTCTTTGAGATTATGATTTCCATACATAGATTTGTATTATTCCAAGGTGTGATCTTGAGGTTAATTACAGAATAACTTTCAAACATAATTTAAAATGTAATTTAATTTCGAGGGACATATCATAGAATTAGTTTTGGAAGGTCTTTGATTAGAAACCTCACACACAGTTCTTTGACGTTTAAAAATTGTTTTTGTTTTCTTATAACCACCTCACCTGTGGTTGAGTTCTGACTCTGCTTCACAGGAGTGCACAGGCAGATCTGTCTTCCCTGAGCCCTTATCTAGAGTGTGTGGTCAGTGTTGGACCTGTCTGGTAGGGTTGTTGTGAACAGTAGTTGAACTAAGCCATGTAAGATATCGAGCAGCAAGACCAAGTCATAAAATGAATGAATGGATGAATTTAAAAGAAAAGAAGGAAATGGATGTAGCTCAGTGTGAAGTTTCTAGCTTCAATCCTCAGTACCACCAAAAACAGAAATAAAAATAAAATTAATAACAGGTAGATAAAAGTTGAGAATCACTGCTTAATTTTACTAGAGTTCAAATTTTTAGGATTCATTGTACACTTCTAAACCAAGGCTGCGGGTGACATATTTGGGTAAGATTTTCCATGAAAAAAAAATCATTGATGAAATACTTGTCACTCATGCATATTATTCTAAAACAAACAAAACAAAACAAACCCTCATGTAATCATCTAAACTTTTAGGTGGAATATAGTGATCTGAGAATGGAAGAAGAGTATGAATAGTAAACTAAAAGAGAACTTGTCTTTTACCATCTTCCTTATCTTTTTAGTTATTGATGGCAAAATAGTTGGTAATTCAGTTCTTGTGAAAATAATTACAGAATCAGTCCTTTTATGCTCTATATTTACAAAGCTAGTGGCTGATAGTTTGGCAGCCAATAGTTATTAATTTTATATGTGATTTATTGCAGAACATTCAGTTTGTTTCTTCAGTTTCAACATGTATGAATTCAGCTTTGTGAGGTGACGTGGCTTGTGGGGGCATCATTGCTGTGTTCTAGCTTGTAGCACAATTATGCTTAACACAGGCCTGTGGAAGAATTCAAATATTTAAACGTTTTTTAAAGTAATGGATGTGGCTATTTTTAAAATAAAATTAAAAAATCTTTTACTTCTGATGGTTTTCATAATTGGTGAATATCTTCGTAAGATCCTTGTGTTTGAAGAAGAGAATTGTGCTTAATATCTATTTTCTGAGTCATAATAGAAATTATGTATTTTCAGACAGACAAAGCCTTACATGGAATCTAATATTATCTTCTTTTTTCTTGATTTTCAGATTTTAGATGATGAAATTCATGCAGACTTTTATGTAGCTGTTCCAGAAATAATGCCTGACCTTCATCCATTAAGGAAAAAACTGAAAAAAAGATTTCCAAAGCTCAGTAGAAGTAAGGGAAAATGCCTTTTTTATTTTAATATGCTGTGAACAACTCTCTTTTCATTTAGAAAACAAAGTTGCTAATATGTATGTAGAACAAACAGTATGCTTGGTGTTTGAGTTCTGTGTTACAAGAGTATGTATATTTGATTTCTTTTCTTTGGCCTTAATATTTAGTAATCTAAATTGAGAACTCTGTTACTTTTTACTATTGACTCTTTAAATTTAGGTCATAGGCTAGGTCCAAATTAGCATATTCCCTATTAGATATGTTGTCATTACTTTATTTTACTGACTTTTATACTTTATCAATATAATGTATGTGCTCATGAAGACATATATATGATTATAGGAGCTCAGAAGGTAGTTTCCTTAAAGAATTTTCTCTTTAGAAATCTAGTAGGAGAGATAATATTGCTACATGCAGAACCATTTTAGAAAGGTGAGGTGTTGTGTGATAAATTCACAAGGTGCTGTGGGTGTTCACTGAAGGTGGATTTACACACAGGTGGGAACAATGAAGGCATCATGCAGGAGGTGGCGTTTAAACAGCACCCTCGATAGTTGGATGAAGTGATCAAGGGGAATATTATTTTAAGTGAAGGAATATATTAACTGTAGACATTAAAGTAAATCAGAAACTATAGACCAGGTCCAAGAAATACTGGATAGTTGTCTTTGGTTGTAGGGAATGGTGTCTCTAGGGTGAAGTAGAAGACAGAATGGGAAATGCTAGAGAAGTGGATTGATGCCATATGAGAAAATGTTTGAATTAGGAGCGAAAGAGCATGAACTTCTATTCTGTACTCAGCAGGAACCCCTTCCCCATTTGAGATGTGGTGTGATGTGGTCTGTTCCTTAGAGCTTCGGTGTGGCCTAAGTCTGTCAGATGCACTAAACCTGGAGGTCCGAGAGTGGCTAGGCTGCAAGTGAGCACTAACGGTGACGTTTACACCAAGGTCTTTATGATGAGGAGTGTTAGAGGTGTTCTAGGACTTTGTGACTGTGTAGTTACAAATCCATCGGTTTTTGAGGAGAAAGGAAGTATCAAAGGATACTGAAATTTTTAAGGCTAGGGACAGTACCGTATTAAGTGGAATTGTTAATGGAAGAGGGATGTATTTTGGAGGACAAACAAGTTCACTTGCACAGCAATTCACTTGTTTTAGATAGTATTGGATGTGTGGTATAGATAAGGATTCTTCTGAATAAAATTCCCTACTGTGAACAGAACAAGTACTTTAAAATTGTTTTAGTGGGCTTGTCTTCAAATTTTAACTCTAGTTGAGCTAAAAAGTCTTAAAATTCTTTATACTTGTTAGTCACTAGTACTTGTGTGAATTTTGTACCAGGATCTTTAACATGACTAAATTCAAGTGGACTCTCTAATTCTTCTATTGTACTATAGTTTATTTTTGACAACCTGTATTAAATCACATGTGCTTACTAGGTATTGGACTTAGGCTTGGCATGTATGTATTAGAGGTTTCCATCACAGTAGTGTTTGTTGTCTTGGAATCAGACTTATATTCTTTCCTACGTAAGACCTGAAATTGAACTTAAAAATTAAACTAGAATTGTAGTTGAATTTAATGAAAATATTTCTCCTAATTTTTTGTTTCTAATTTGTTTTTGTTTCTAATTTGTTTCTAATTCTATTCAAGCTCCAATTAGAGCAAAACCAATAGTACTAAATATAACCAGGTAAAACTGAAAACAAGTACAGAATATATCTGTGTTTAACTAGTGCCTTGCTTTGCACAGTGAACTGGTTTTTTGCTTTTTTGAGACAGGATCTTGTTCTGATCTCAAACACAAGATTCCCCTGGCCTCACACTGATGATCCCCCTGCTTCAGCCTCCTAGTTGATGGGATTATAGATGTGTGCCCACCACACCTGGCATCATAAACATTAATTTTGTCACCTTTATTATTTTACCTATTTTGTGTATCACCTTTTTGAATTGTATTTTCTTTAGCCTCATTTTTTTTTCTAATAACGTTTCTTTATTCCAAACAATATGTTTCCTGTTGAAATGTTTAGTTTTATCACTAGCTTTACTTTATTTCTGCTTTCATAATGAACTATACCTTCTACATACCAGAGTTAGGGACTGAACTTTGTGTTAACCATTTACTTAACAAGGTACTTGGAAAAAGCAGATCTTTCCCTTCTCTAGCATTTCCTTTTCCCCTACCACGATCTGTTTAAAAGCTCTAGAAAAACATTTGTGAACTTTAAACTTGAAGAGTAATGATAAATCTGTCAAAAGTGTTAAAAACAGAGTATTCTAGGTGTGCATTAGAACAAATGAAGCTGCTATTAAGCATTTTCAGGGCTTATTCTTGTTTAGGGACATTTGATTCCCCTTTTACCTAACAAAAGATGTTAACGTAAAATAGAAGTTGGTTTTGAGCAAGTGGGTAAAATTAAAAAGCAAACAAACAATCCCCTGCAGCTGAGCTCATTAGTTTCTCGTGTTGACTCAGTTTTACTAATGGGAGTGGGTGGAACCAGCTTGGCTGGATTGAATGTGTACGTTTTGCAACATGATTAATGCTGTGGTTTTAGTCATTTTAATTGCTTGCATAACTGTAGGCAAGTTCTCTAGTTTTGATACACATTTTGTTTGTTTTCGCAATATTTTTTGTTTCATAAAAAGAAAATTTTAAACTTTTAAAAATTTCTGGAAAGAAATTTGACTTTATTACTAATCACTGTAATTTTTCCCTCTGAAATTCTTTTTACCTCAAATACATATTTTCATGACAGTAAAAGTTTCTAAATTTCTTGTCCTTTTTTATTTAGCATTTACTAAACAAAAAATACTAGTGTGAAACATACGTTTACTTAATGGGATCAATTTTCTGTTCATATTACCTTGTGATAGGTACTATGGCATATATGGAAATAATTGAGTTAATTAATTAAGTTTTGGTGCTGGAGATTAAACTCAAGGCCCTCCACATGCTAAGCATGTGCTGTACCCTCTGATTCATATGAATTATTTTAAACCATGCTAAGTTTTTGGCAGGTAAGAGAGAAAGGAATATAATTAGAAAATTATACTAATGTATATTTCCCTTAACATGTAGCTCTTAGAATTGAACACCACTGCTCTAGTTGAAATCTTGTCTAAAAGATATTTGAGCAGACTTGTTCAAAGGATATTCATATTTACTGAATAGGGCACTGCTTTCTTTAAGGGATTGTTATACTATACTGTGTAGCTCTTGAATCTTAAAATTATCAATAATTAAAAGTACTTCATTAATTCTTTTATTATTACATGTTTGTAGCATATGTTTATTCCTTGTATGGAGTTGGTTTGTGTATATAACATATCTTAATTCCTTTTTCATCCTCTTTCCCTCTCACCTCATGTTTTCATCCCTTTCTCCTTTGAAAAAGATCTGTTTCCCTACTTCCTATTATCTGTCTTTCATTTTGCTCTTTATTTATAACTTGGGTTTCTCATATAAGAGAAACCATGTGATATTTAAGCCTATGTGTCTGATTTATTTCACTTAACATTATGGTCTCAGATGCCTCCATGTTCCTACGAATGACTCTTTTATCTTTATGGCAGAATAGTACTCCATTGTGTGTAAACATCACATTTTTGTATCCATTCATCTTTTGATAGACATGTAGGCTGCTTCCAAGATTTAGCTATTATGAGCTTCTCTGCTATAAACATAGGTATGCATGTGTCACTGTAATACGATATTTTTAACTCTTGAAAAGATACCTAGAAGTGGAATAGCTGAGTCAAATGGAATTCCTAGTTTCAGTTTTTTTGAGGAATTTCTACACTGATTTCCAAAGTGGTTGTACTAGCTTACATTCCCAACAGCAGTGTCGAAGGATTCCTCTTTCCCTGCAGCCTCTGCAGCATTTATTATTATTTGACTTCTTGATGATGGCCATTCTTTCTGAAGTAAGATTGGAATCTCTGTGTTGTTTTAACTTGCATTTCTCTAATGGTCAGAGATGTGAGCATCTCTTTACTTACTGTCCAGTTGTACTTCTATGTGAAATATCTATTTATTTCATTTGTCCATTTTTGATTGGGTCTTTTATTTTAGGGGAGTCTAAGGTTTTGAGTTCTTTATATATTCTAGATGTGAATTCTCCATCTGAGATATACGTGGCAAATTGTTTTCCCATTCTGTAGGTTATCTCTTCACTCTGTTGATCTTTTTTACCTGTGCAGAAGCTTTTCAATTTGATACGATCTCATTCATTGATTCTTGGACCTATTTCCCAGGTAACTGGAGTTCTGTTCAGAAAGTCCTTGCCTTCTACACCCATGACTTCCAGAGTTTTACCTATTTTGTTTTCCATCAGGTTAAGTGTTTCTATTTTAATATTTAGATTTTTGATCCATTTTGATTTTAATTTAGAACATAGTGTAAAATATGGGTCTAGGTTCAGTCTTTTGAACGTAGATAGCCAGTTTTCCAACACCATTTGTTAAAGAGGCTCCTTCCTCCAGTGTATTTTTTTGTCCCTTTGTGAAAGGTCAAATAGTTGAATGTACTTGGGGGTTATTGGGGGTTATCTCTGCATCCTCTCTTCTGTTCCATTGATCCTCATGTCTGTTTTCGTACCAGTACCATGCTGTTTTTATCATAGTAGCTTTGTAATATAATTTCAAGTCCAGGATTGTGATGCCTCCTGCTTTACTCTTGTTACCCAGGATTGTTTTTGCTATTCTGGGTCTCTTCTAGTTCCATTTAAATTTTAGGTTTGTTTTCTCCAGTTCTATGAAGACTGCTGTTGAAATTTCGATTGGGATTGTATTAAATCTGTATAACAGTTTTAGAAATATGGCCATTTTGACTATATTGATTCTGTCTATCCAGGAACAGGTGATATCTTTCCATTTTCTGATGTCCTGTTTGATTTCCTTTTTGAGAGTGCTATAGTTTTTGTTGTAGAGGTCTTTCACTTTCTTAGGTTAATTCCTAAGCATTTAATATTTTTGGTGCTATTGTATATGGTAC